AGACAGGAAGTGCACCACAGTGCATGAAATCATGAGAGAAGCTGGACACGGTCACAGCGGTAAGGTGTGTTAAAGGAATCTCACAGTCCAAGGTTATTAATACAAAACCTTTCATGCTTCCAACATGCTAGGAAAAAAAGATGAAGATGCTCTGGTTGGGGAAATAAACGTCGACTGTAACTCATTCAGGCAAGGATCCTTTTCCTGTTCTGTGTTTGTACAGCACCTAGCACAATGGGGCTCAGTCCAGGTCTGGGGCTACTGCAATACAAACAATAAAAACAGAAATAAAGAGACGGATGAAGCAATTGGAATCTCTGCCAGGCTTGGAATGTGGCACAAAGGGGGCCCTTTGAGTGCAGGGAGTCAAGAAGTCACAACACTTCTCAGATGTGATGTTCTTAAAAGGAGATTTGGATTCTTCTTAAAAGGCTCAGTTTAGGTCTGGATTATAATTCACAAAACAGAGGTCAAAGCTACGCTGTAAAACAGAGAGTGTAGCTTACTGGTTAGAGCATGGGAATGGGGATGAGGACCCCTGGGGCCACACCCTCAGCTGGTGTAAATCTGTGCAGCTGAGAAGATGGCTGCTGGATCTGATCTGTGGCTCAGCCGATTACTTTTGATTTAGGAATATGTCTCTCAGCCTCTTTTGGTGAAATTCTGGCCCCATTTAAGTCAGTGAGAGTTCTGTCATTGACCTCAATGGAGCCAGGATTTCACCCTTTGTGTCTCATTTAGTAGCTGTATAAAATGAGGAGGATACCTGCTTTACAAAGCTGGCCTATATTAATGTTTGTTCTCACTGCTGTGACCCTTGTCCTCCCTCTCCTGCTCCTTCCTACTTGTTATACCTTCCTACTTCGTTATATACTCTGTGGATCCATGTCTCGAATTTGATGGCAAGCTCCTCAGGGCAAGGACTTCTACTTCCGGTAAAGTGCCTAGCACAATGGGACGCCGCTATTTTAATAAAAAACAATTATAGAGGTTTCAAGAGGCATGGTTGTTTGTAAAGTGCGTTGTGCTACTCAGATGAAGGCACTATGGCCAGGGTTCTCAAACTGGGGGTCGGGACCCCTCAGGGGGTCACGAGATTATTACCTGGGGGGTAGTGAGCTGTCAGCCTCCAACCCAAGCCCAGTCTTGCCTCCAGCATTTATAATGGTGTTAAATATAGAAAAACATGTTTTTAATTTATATGGGGGGTCGCACTTAGAGGCTTGCTATGTGAAAGGGGTCACCAGTACAAAAGTTTGAGAATCACTGCACTACGGTAATAACATTGTGTGCTTCTGTTGTGGCAGACTGACAAGATCCTGTAATATCCTGAACAAACTTTATGGAATTAAGCTAAACTTTACTGAATTAAACTAAACCTTACTGGATTAGGGTAAATACCTTTGTACATTGTATTCAAAATGCAATTGTGTATGTGTTATTGTGGCATTGTATGTATCTTCTCTAGTAGCAGGGGGACACTAATGAACTTCCTCCTTACCAACCCTTTGAAGCCACCCCCCTGCAGAGATATGCCTATCCTAGTTCAAACTGGATTCTCCAGGGACCAAGAGACAAGGAGAAATCTTTTGGATAAATGACCTGGGTTTAAATGGACTCAGGGCCTTCTTCCTGATCCAGCAAACAGATGTGACCTTTGTTCCACAGAAGGTCCCAATCTTCAGTGTAGGGTTGGAAGGACAGGGCCTGCCAGAATGCATGTTAGCATGTGTATAGGTTGAGGTTCTGTTCTCGTTTTTAATGTTTTCACTGTCGTGCTTTTTACCTTATATCTGCAACAACTCTCTGTTATCAGTATCTGAAGAGAAAACAAGCAAGTCTATTTAGTCTCTGCAGTGAAGGCAGAGAACTGTGCAGCAGAGTCATACCCTGCTCAGATGGGACTGAGACGCAGGCAACAGCTGGGGAAGCCGAGAGTGAGTGCCCTTGCTGGACCTCAGGGGAGGGGGAGAAATACAGGTGCAGTTACCCTGAATGGTGAGTCATGTTCTGGAAAAATGCACAATTGTATGCACTCTTTACAAAAATTATTATGCCCTTATATCTGGAGAAACATTAAGCCATCTATTGCTGTGTTCCATGCAAATTCTCCATATCCTCTCGGCTTCAAAAGCCGGATATAGACAGTAAATATTGTAAGTATACGACCAAGCTAATTCTTGGCTTCTTATTTACAAAGGATCCCAGACCTATTACATACCATTTTCCTGATCTTACGCATGCACCACCACAGCAAGCCAAAAAGGAAGAGCATTTGGCTTTGATGTCCAGCAAAAATTTGATGATTAATCACAAAAAAGGAAATAACTTGATATACATACAGACAGACACACACAAAATCTTGGCACAATATGTAAATCTCTTCTGCTAAGGGCAGACACAGCAAGCCAGATTCTGATCTCAGGCCTGGTCTACACTAGAAAATTAATTTAGTTTAACTACATTGGTCAGGGGCGTGAAAAATCCACAACCTTGAGCAGCGTTGTTAAGCTGACCTAAGTCACCCCGTGTAGACAGTGCTACGTTGGTGGAAGAATTCTTCTGTTGGGGAGGTGGATTACCTACACTGACAGAAGGGTTTTTCCCATTTACGTAGCTAGCTCCATCTCTGGAGATATTTAAGAGTAGGTTAGATAAGTGTCTATCAGGGATGGTCTAGACAGTATTTGGTCCTGCCATGCGGGCAGGGGACTGGACTCGATGACCTCTCGAGGTCCCTTCCAGTCCTCGAATCTATGAATCTACAGTGAAGCGCTATAGCCTCAGTTGCAGTAGTGTAAATCCAGAGTAACTCCACTGAAGTCAATTAGTGAGATCAGGAATTGGTGATAAAGAGAGCAGTGCTGAACTAAACTGGATCCTGAACTGAATGGAGGCAAGCCAGTGCAGTTGTTTAAGGAAACTGGCTAAATGTGGTCGAGCGTGACCTGGCACAGTACGACTGTGTTTATTTGACGGTGCTTTTTCCCAGGCTACACTAGTCTTATAGACTTTTGTTACTTTTACTCCTTTTCAACAAAGGAGTAGGTAAACAGAAGAAAGTGCCTCTTATCATTCACTTCTGCCTTTCTTGCAATTTCTCCAGTACAACAGTAACCACACTGTAGTATTTGCAAAAAGGCTGTTGGCTGAGGTGAGAGTTAATTACTAAGAGTAGATATCCAGAAAATAAGATTTGTGATAAAGTCAGAGTTTACTAATGCAATTGATAGCTCTATAAACACTAAATGCATGAATTGTAACTTTTATATGATTAATCTAATTGATAACTTGAAACAACAGCTTTACAAGAGCTCACTGGGTACAGTTTATTTTGTTTTTAATGATTGACTCATTTAGTAGTTCGGTGAAATTTGAATATTTTATAGAATAGTACTTAAAAGCTAAGATTGGATCATTTGGTTATTCTCTAAAGGCCCGATATGATTAATTTCAACCCACTCAGGATCTTAGTCCTGATTTTTAAAACAAACTATAATTAAAACTATTTACTCTTATTGGAAAAAGGCAAATATAGTGCCCATCTTTAAAAAAGGGAAGAAGGAGAACCCGAGGAACTACAGACCGGTCAAGGAAACCATTTTGAAGCCCTTGGAGGAGAGGAAGGTGATCAGGAACAGTCACCATGGATTCACCAAAGGCAAGTCATGCCTGACCAACCTGATTGCCTTCTATGATGAGATAACTGGCTCTGTGGATATAGGGAAAGTGGTGGACGTGATATATCTTGACTTTAGTAAAGCTTTTGGTACGGTCTCCCACAGTATTCTTGCCAGCTAGTTAAAAAAGTATGAATTGGATGAATGGACTATAAGGTGGATAGAAAGCTGGCTACATTGTCGGGCTCAATGGGTAGTGATCAATGGCTCGATGTCTAGTTGGCAGCCGGTATAAAGCGGAGTGCCCCAGGGGTCGGACCTGGGGCCGGTTTTGTTCAACATCTTTATTAATGATCTGGATGATGGGATGAATTGCACCCTCAGGAAGTTCATAGATGACGCTAAGCTGGGGGGAGAGGTAGATACGCTGGAGGATAGGGATAGGGTCCAGAGTGACCTAGACAAATTGGAGGATTGGGTCAAAAGAAATCTGATGAGGTTCAACAAGGACAAGTGCAGAGTCCTGCACTTAGGACGGAAGAATCCCATGCACTGCTTCAGGCTGGGACCGACTGGCTAAGCAGCAGTTCTGCAGAAAAGGACCTGGGGATTACAGTGGATGAGAAGCTGGATATGAGTCAGCAGTGTGCCCTTGTTGCCAAGAAGGCTAACGGCATATTGGGCTGCATTAGTAGGAGCATTGTCAGCAGATCAAGGGAAGTGATTATTCCCCTCTATTCGGCACTGGTGAGGCCACATCTGGAGTACTGCGTCCAGTTTTGGGCCCCCCACTACAGAAAGGATGTGGACAAATTGGAGAGAGTCCAGCGGAGGGCAAGGAAAATGATCAGGGGGGCTGGGGCACATGACTTACGAGGAAGAGAACTGGGCTTGTTTAGTCTGCAGAACAGAAGAGTGAGGGGGGATTTGATAGCCTTCAACTACCTGAAGGGGGGTTACAAGGAGGATGGAGTTGCGGTGGGGGAGGTCTAGGTTGGATATTGGGAAACATTATTTCACTAGGAGGGTGGTGAAGCACTGGAATGGGTTACCTAGGGAGGTGGTAGAATCTCCATCCTTCGAGGTTTTTAAGGCCCGTCTTGACAAAGCCCTGGCTGGGATGATTTAGTTGGGGTTGGTCCTACTTTGAGTAGGGGGTTAGACTAGATGACCTCCTGAGGTCTCTTCCAATCCTAATCTTCTATGATTCACAATAATCATTTGTAAATTTAACTACAATATAATTCTAGACTTGGTTTTGTTACTAAAATTCTTAAGTTCCATTTTGTACAAATGGGCTTGTTATTATAAGGCTGCTCATGAGTGCTGGGGAGTTTTGCTCTGGTTTTATTATGGTAGGGTTACTCATCACAGGTTGGTATGTTCCTGGAGCGTGCTTGTGAATGCTGGGTAAGGGGAACACTGGAGTGTTGCTGTAGAGTTGTTGCTGTGAGATGAGCTGCTTGCACTTTTGTTTTTAAGAAAAAACTCAAACAATATATTTTGCTGCCTTCTAAAAAAAAAAACATATTAACTAATCTATACTAAATGTCACGTGGGGAATATCCCCTCTCAGGCTGGGAAGCTCCTTTCCTTACTTCTGCCTGAAATGAAACCTACATTTCACGGGGCTTACAATTGCACAAGTCACAGGCCCTGCACTGTGCCAACAGCAGTCTGTGCTGCTAGCACGGTGATAACCTGACACATGTGCCATGCACCCACTAGTTGTGCCTGCTGGGATTGCTTTTAGGATTTGCTGGCCATTCTCTGTACTGTTCTAATGTGCAATGGAGCACAGAACAGGGGCTGTGCACTGTATAAGAATCTCCAGGGCAGCTCGCTCCCAGTAGGAGTTGTGGAACTTCGTGAGTTTTAAGACAGAGCTGGACAAATTTATGAGTGCAATTGTCTGACAGGGTTGCTTCTGATGGTAAGGGGCAGGGCTCACTTCCAGTTTATGTTTCCTTCATCAGGGTTTCAGCCAGCCACCTGGAGGGATCAAAAGGGATTATTTTTCTCCCCCACCCAATGTATTCTGTTTTGGGTTTTTTTTATTGTTTTGTTTATTTGTTTTTGTCTCCTTCCTCTGAAGCACCAGAGATGGCCTGGGCTGGAAATGGACACTGGATAAGGAGGGCCAGGGCTCTGAGGTGGGCGGCACCAAGCACGCTCTCTCAGGTGCTATTCTTGCTCACATGCTCAGGGACTGATTGCCATATGTGGGATAGGGAAGGAATTTTTCCACAGGTCAGTCTGGCAGTGACCTTGGGGGGGGTTCACCTTCCTCTGCAGCGTGGAATGAGGGTCACTTGCCAAAGTTATATCTGGGTCTATCTCACTTAATCACGTCCCTGCCATTGCAGGGGCCTCAGGCACTGATGCATCTTGGTCCCTTGTATTGTCTCCCTGTGGCACATAACAGTCTAGTCTCCAGTGGGCTGGAATACTTCGGTCTAATTTGGGTTGTTGGGTTAGTATACGTGTGCTGGGTGGTGTTGGTGGCCTGTGATATACAGGGGGGTCA